GAGGGTGATGCCAGCACCAGATTTTTCCACACTTATACCTTTAATAGAAGGAGGAGAAACAGAATCCTCTCCCTCAAGGATGACAATGGCAACTGGATCAATGATCAAAAAGAGATTCAGTCAACTGGATTTAAAAGGATTAGTCCACATGGCATAAACTTTTGACTCAAGTAGAAACATAAAGGACATCACATTTGGTTAAAATCTTACTTCAGCTCTTGTCTCGAACGAAAGTTAATATGGGTGCACCAACTTGCACAAAATATTATTTTAAGTAGCTCCAAAAGAAACCACATAGTGACTTTAATCTTGATAAATTCCCATCCTTCCAAGTAGGCCACACGCAACAAATAGAACCTGTGCAATAGCAAATATGATGGCTAAATAATAGCCTGGAAAAATTATCCCTCGAGATATACTCAAGTCCAGAATAGGAAACTACAATTCTCTTAAGTAACCAAGTAATAATCAACAAAAATATTGCACCTCTAATCAATGGTTTAACGCAAAAATAAAAATACCAATACTAAAGAGAAAATGACATAGGTAATTACTTTTGTTGGTATCAAAATAACAATATTTGATAACAGGTAATTACTTTTGTTGGGGCTAATATTGGGGCCTACATATGATGGGAGAAATTAAAAAATAGCTAGATTTACAAGTGGTCGTTCAAAAATAGCCTAGCTTCAAAAGTAATCGAAATTTAACCACTTTTCATATAAAGATAAATATGAATGAAAACACTGTTCAAAATCCAAAAAAATACTTCAGCATAATATGCTGGAGTTCCATTATAATATACTGGAACTCCAGTCTAATATACTGGAGTTCCAATATAATATACCGGTTCAGCATAATATACTGGAGTTTGGAGCACCGGTGCTCCAGTCTTCAGTATATTATACTGGAGCCAACAAAGTATATCGGTCCAACATAATATGCTGGAAGTTCATACACAGATGCACCGAACTCCAGTATATTATGTTGGACCGGTCTCTGTTGCAGCAAAATAGTAACTATTTTTCATTGACTTTGTAAACGCTGGCTATTTTTGAATGACCAATCCGAAAACTGGCTAGACCGTGCTATTTACTCTTTAAGGCCAGATGACAGTACTATTCTAAAAAAAATTTCAATAGCTGTGAAGATAGCTTACACGTATGGTGCTCTTCAACACCTATAAACAATTAAAAAAAATATTAAGTTTTTGTGTACATTATATAAGGTATAAAAACATCATTTTATACATATGATCAAGAGTTCCTTTTTTTTTTTTTAATTTTGCTTTTCAAATCAGCATGTTCGGGCCAAGTAGAGTATTTCCCCACTTTCCAGTCTAGTGGTTTTAGGCTTGAAGGAACAGGGGTCCTAAGCCTCACTAAAATTGTATTTTCTATTTCTTTGACATAGCCATTGTCCGTTTTACATATTCATTGATGAGATATCAAAAAATAAGATTTTTAGGTGTTGCAAATATTATAGTTAAAAAGTAATATGAAAGTAGGAAAGACATGAAAATCACTAACCTTAACCTCATCCAGGTTGACTCCATTTTCCTTGAGAAATGATAAAAGGCTGTCAAAACTATCATCATTTGGCCGATAACGCCCACTATATGATGAAATAGACTGAAAAGAATAAAATGTGAAAGCACAGCATAGAGCCAAGCTAAATGTTGTGAACAGTAATTGAGTTTAGCTTCCAAGCTACACGCATATGATTCAGGGGACACTACCTATATTATTTCTTACCTTTCATTTGCAAATAATACATCTTAGGTTTTGAAAACAGATATAAAATACAAAAGGGAAGGCAACCTTCTCTTCATATAGCTTCTACTTCTATATGCAATTATGGTTTAACAATCCAAATAAAGTTTGCAATGTGGTGTGACTGAACAATTTAAGTATACTAATTTGGACCAGAATTAGAATTTCAAGACATAAATATTGTTTCATAAATTTGAGAAGAAATGACTCGTGCTTTTTGGCAGCCCTCTATTTACATCTCATCATAGTTTCATTGTCAGGACTAATGTCATATGTAATGTAAAGGGAAAAAAATATTGGCCTAATTGCTTTAGTTTTTGAGCTATCGTATAACTATCTGACGCAACAGTTCAATACAATGACAACAAATATTTACCTTAAGTATCCCATCTATTACCCCTAGTCTTTCAGCTGCTAATGTATCCCCACCAGCAAGAAAGCTAGAATGATGATATATTCCTCTTTTCTTCTGAAAGGCATTAGAATAACAAACATTTCGCATTATTAAAAGAAAAACAAACCTTCTTTTTGTAGGATAATGATCAAAAAAGCATTTTTGCATTAACTTTTACCACCCACCTCGCCTGCATAGAGTTTTTTTGAGGTGCTCATTACAAAATTCATTTTGCCTATGGCAAACCATTGGTTGTATCAAGACGATTTCCAATATGCTTATGCGCAATTTTCTCTTCAGCCACTATATATTCATAATGTTCTCTCTCTTGAGAACATTAAGAAAACGATGAATAATTAGAGCTGCATGCTAATATCGAACAATGAAAGTAAGGAAATTATGTAGAGTTCACTCCTTCACTTAACAGACAAAAAGGATATATTGGCTCCTTTTTTAATCAAGGACAAAAGAAACATATGGAACATGCCATAAAGGTAATTAATATTAGTAGTGTATAATAGAGCAGATCATATATATAAAGAGAAACTAATGTCTGTGCATGGATATGAGAAGCCATTTGTATATTGATGCTAGAAATTATGATTTGCATTGCAATAGGTGACAAAGATTTTGCACATACTGGTCCAAGATACTTAATACATTGTTTCTAAAGCGTAGATCTTGGACATTCTTTGAGATCAACCTTTTTTCCATCTCCACGATTCCTACTTGGAAAAATCTTCAGAAGTTTAATGTGTTCCACATCTGCTTTGAGAAATAACAGTTTGGCTGCTTCATGTCTAACAATTGGATGCTTATTGATATCTTTAACAGACCTGGATAGTGCATCTCTAGTATTTTTGGTATGTAATTGACCCAATACATAATTGACTTCATGCTTTACTAAAGTAGTGTTTCAAGTTACAGATTCTTTATCGTGTCCACCATTGTTATAATGTGAAAACAGAACAGAATAACAATGATACATGCCTTGTTTTTCTTTAAAAAGAACGTACCTCAAGTCTTGGACAGGGTAAAAGCAGAAGGAGCAGATGGTCTGTGGATAGAAAGGGTGATAAAATCATTGTTCAAGAACCGTTATTAGTTCCTACATTCTTCAACTCTTTCATATGTCTGACAACCAGTTAATTTGTTTTTCTGAACTATTGAGCTGAAATTGTAGCCGAACTTCTTTATATCAGGAAAATATTTCTTTATAAACCAATTACATGAAGAGTGTGAAGAATAATAAGAAGAAAATGAACTGTAACGCACTTACATTCCGGATGTCATTAAATTTTAAGAGAATAGCACTATATTAAGAGTAATAACTTAATTAAGAAGCCGTGTTAGCAGTTATTTTAAGTCAAGCTGTCAAAGAGAAGAGCCATTCTTGATTTTTATGGGTAAAAAGGAAAAAACAAATACACAATCTAAAAAATAATGAGGCCTCACCAGCCAATGCCAACCACTTAGCCCAATAGCCTTTTTGACAACTCCCAGAAGCCCGACAAAACAATCTTGGTTTTGTTGTTTCCAGTTACAATAACTTTGGTGTGTCTCGGATGAACAGACAGTTCCTTATCACCACTCTCTTCACGGAAAGGCGATAACACCCGAGATGGACATAGTTGATTCTCCAGCATTTTGCACTTCTAAACAACTAACTAATCACAGTGAATCCAATGACGATAACAACAGAGATCAGTTTAGGTTAGGTACTGCTACTCTACCACCAAACTGCAGAGCTCTACATGATGAATAATCTTTTCTCCCTTGCTCCTCATTTCGATTAGATAACCAAAAAACAAATTTTCCTAGCCGTGAGAACAAATTAACAATTCGAACATTAATTGGAGAAGTCATCAGTAATGTATTAGTGATTTTGATCATACATTTCCTATCAAAGTAAGAAAGAACATAATCAAATAATGAAGTAGTAGAACTTAGGAGTAAGCATATTGAGAAAGAATTCTGTTGTATCACAACAGTAAAAGACAAACAAAAAAAATGAGTAGATCGATTAGCACTCAAAAAAATAAAATAAACCAAAAGATAAATTAAACCACACTTTCAATTTCCTCGCCGAGAATGGATTCAGTCAGTTTCCTTTTTTTCCATATATTGACGCTGCATTTTATAATAAAAGCATTTCTTTCCTGCTCCTCAATAACAGTTGTACAATTGACACCTAAACTCTATCTCCATGACTCATACTATGACATGTAAAAGTGGTTGTTGCATTTCATCTCTTAGTAGTGAGTTCCAGGTTTATCATATTCTATTGGGACTACTTTAGATGTATGAAATTATTTTTGTAATTGCATTGAATGTTACTGGCTTACTGCTACTATGATGTAATCGAATTTGAAGTGCTAACAATGCTGCCTCATCATCAGCACCTTTAATGTCATGCCATAAAAGTTCAGTTAACTTGAAGTAACTAACGTGTTGCATCAAAAACCTTAATAGAAAGATTGAAATAACTACTAATTAAATTCATGATTAATAAAGATGAATGTAGATCAATATTTAGACGATTCGTCTCCACATATAATTTGCGCAAATAATAAAAATCTTTACTTTTTTAATTGCATAACTAAAGGCATTTCAGTAGCCAGTCATAGATTCTTTTCCTTTTTAACGACTCTGTGAATCTTGTTGCTAGAGAGTTGAGAATTGAAGTCATCATCTTGTCCTACTGTTGATGACTTATTAGCGGATGTACTCCTCTTGTCATACGTCTTCAAAGGAGATATTTTTGCATTGCAAGCATTACCATCTTCTAACACGGACGATCCACTTTCTGATACACTTTTCTCGATGAAAGTTTGTCAAACAGACTTCATCTCACTTTCGGCCATAACATCCTACAAAATAGTAAACATTTAATAGCAGTTGGAGAGCAATATTACCATTGATTGCATAATTTTGACTAAAAGTTTTTTAGCAAGTAATGTTAATTGGAGGGCGTATATAAGGTTCATGAACTGGATACCAGATGGACTGAAAATGCCTGAACCTGAGCTTATTTACCATGTGGGGTTGGACTCTGTTGTCTTTTTCCAAAATGTCTTGCTAGGGTATGTCTTTCTAATTATTGATATCACTTTTGGAGTCATAAATCAATATGCCTTGTGTTATCATATATGTGCCATTGCTTAATAACCACACTATTGATCAAGATAAAACCATACCAAATATTGATACTTACTACCAAGGCTGGTGGTAGTCCACCGAGAACATCACCTAGCCCACCAGTGTCTTAAACTAATATCTTTTTCATCTTCTTAAAAGAAAGGATAAGGAAGATCTCTCCATCTCATAAAAGTTTTAATTTCATGAAATTTACTCCGAAAAGCTTCTCTCCACTTGAGCTTTGTCCATCAAAAAACTGTGGATCCTGTTAAAAAACAAAGCCAAAAAAACATTCATCTTATGAGTGTAAAAGTATTTATATTTTAATTTTGTATTCATAGGTTTGTGAGTAAAAATGTTTACAGTGATAGTGTCGTCGAATTTGCCGTATTCCTCCAGAAGTTCATCATCATCAGTAATCTTAAGAAAATTGTAGATTTCGACTTGTGACTCAATATTCTCTTTCTTAACAATAACCTTGAACATGAATTTTTTATAAAGAATATCGTCCAGTTCAGTTAGATAAGAACAATCAGCATCCGCAATTGAGGTCTACACCAAATTTCAGAGGTTAGAAATATTATAATTGACAACTAAATTATGTTTAGTATTATACCTCAACTAATCCTTCCTTAAGTTCTTTTGCGGACTTCCCTATAAGTTGCATAGCATCGCGATTCCAAAACAATAATGAGATAAAAGCGGTTCCATCCNAGTATGTAGTACCAACTTTGTCAACCTTTCTAGTACACTTGTTGCATGCCAAGTATGACCATCCCCGGTCAAGTTCCAAATTCACCAATTTTTCCGCAATCCAATAGCTACAGTCCTATTTAACATAAAGAAAAATTATTGTAAATGCAAAATAAAATATAAGGTACATATAATATTATAGTAAATTAAACTCATTTGCATGCACTGAACTAAATAATTATTTTAAACAATACAATTTCTTTGTCATTGTAAATGCAAAACAGAAAACATAAGGTAAATAAAATTGTAACATTAAATTAAACTCACCTGCGTACACTGAACTAAATTCCTAATAGTTTTAAACAATACAATTCCTTTGTCTAACTCATCTCTAACAGAGTAACTTTGCTGTGAACTTGTCTGAGTGATCCGCTCAAAGTTTGATTGATGTACTGCCAGAAACCTGCATAAGTCGAAAATTGTTATTTGTCAATACAATTTTTATATTTTTTGTACATATAGAAAAGGAATATACACTTGACAAACCTGGATTTAAACTCAGTTGATTGCGGCATCGTAGGATTAATCCATATCTTTGTCTGATACCAACAGCTACACACTGAGTAATTACATGTGTATCAGATTTACTATAATTATAAATCTGACTATAAACTAAAATTGAAAAATATATGTAATTAATGGTAAACCTCGAAATTTTTGAGCTTTCATATGTTGGAAAACAACAATCAAAGGTTCATCAGTAGATTCATTCAAGTGATGTTGAATTTGATCCACAAGTTCACTCCATAAGGTTGCCAAAATCCTGTTCCTCCTATACGTTTTATGGTAAAACTTAATCAACAACAATATAGGTAGTTTTATTGTAAAGTATTGTTTTTATTTCTGAATGACTCACTGATCATCCTCGAGTACAAAATTAATAAAGACACTTTTGTCGTCTCCTTGTTTGTAGGTCTTAACATCTTCATAGGTCACAACCTGGCCAACAACATCTATAAATATAAAAGTTAGTAACATAGATTTACAAAATCTACTATTTGAATAAAAAGGAAAAGAAGAATTACCGAATAATTCTGTCTCATCGACATTATGTTGATTTGTTAGTTGGTCAAAAGGACGCAAGTTAAAGATGTTCATATGAAATGAAGGATCAGTTATTTCCTCAACAAATGTCTTTTGTGTAAATGTCAGCCTCAGGTTGTGTGTCGTAGTCCTCAACTTCAAATTATTTGGTCCGACAACAAAGTAGCTCATACGATATAAGCGAAGTTCCTATATCTTGTTCCTAAAAAACTTAACAACATACTTTCTGATTGAAGCATGTATACGATCACCTGACAAAATCATATTCCTTATTAGTGCAGAATTATGAAGCCAATATTAAGAGAAAGAAAAATGAATACATGTAGTACACATATTTCATATATAGGCGTAGTTTATGTATATTCATCCGATGATAGTCTAAGCAAGGCAACCAATATGTAATATATATGCCGGTTTTTTATATTTTGAACAAAATAGATGTTATTAAGTATAAAACTGCAAAATATGTGAGTTTTATATGTATATATTATGGCAAGCACTGCCTAAAGTTTTCCTCAACGTTTGAAGTCAAAAAACAGAATGCTACAGTTTCTTCTATTTCAGTTAAAGAACACTTTTGGTTGGAAGTGAAATTATTAAAGGAACTTCCTAGATAGTTGAGTAATCCGGAAGAAAGAATATTGATTGTGAAGCCAACATTAAGATACAGAAAGATGAATACTTGTACTAAACATATTTCATATATAGGTTGAATTTCTGTATGTTCATCCGATGATAGTCTAAGCAAGGGAACCAATATGTAATAGCTGCCAATTTTTTATATTTTGAACAACGTAGATGTTATTAAGTACAATACTGCAATATAGGTGAATTTTATATATATCCATTATGACAATCACATCCTAAAGTTTTGTTCAACGTTTGAAGTCAACAAAACAGAATGCTAGAGTGCTTCCATTTCAGTTAAAAAACTCTTTCTCGGATTGATTTGATTATCTGTGATGTGAGTTTCAACTGATTTTTCTAAGTAATCAGATTTGTAGTGATATGACTGGTACATGCTTTCACCGTTCACTGATATGCATAAAGTAAGTAAAAGAATGAAGCAAAAATAACATGTTACCTTCGAATCTTGTAAAACCAATTCAATTGAAAGTGATATTTTCGACTTAAATCGATCAGGGATTACCCACATTCGAACGACTCTAACTTTGATATTCCATTGCATCGAGTTGCCTAAAATTTGTTTGATATCATGAAGTTATGCAGCGATAGTTGCAAAGCAATTTTAATCAAACTCAGTAGATAAAATAGAAAGTTGAAAAGGATTCAAAAATATAAAGCGCATAAATCAATCAGTTATGGAGACGTAGATAGAATAGGGAGTTTTGGTTGGAAGCCCACGTTTGGGAGCACGATCAATCGTGGGATTATAACTGACTGCTTTCCTAAAGTTTTTTCTCAGTCGTGAGCAGTTGTTGATTAAAAAATAAAAACTAAAAAAGTGTGAGGATTTTATTTTTTTTATAAAAGCCAATCAAAAAAGGGGAGGAATTCTATTTTTAATAGGTAAGTGTAATAATAAATAATAAATAAATGAATAGAATAACTCAAAAAACTCAATCGTGGGAGGATTGAAAGTTCTTGAAATTTGCTAAATGTAAGTTTATTTATCTGATTTGTAGTTTGTTGCTGATTAAAAATCAAAAACTAAGAAAGTGTGAGGATTTTTTTTTTTATAAAAGCCAATCAAAAAAGGGGAGGAGTTTCATTTTTAATAGGTAAGTGTAATAATAAATAATAAATAATAAATAAATGAATAGGATAATTCCAAAAACTCAATCGTGGGAGGATTGAATGTTTTTGAAATTTGATAAATGTAAGTATATTTATCTGATTTGTAGTTTGAATTTGAAGCTCCAAAAATCTTGAAGAGTTGTCCTAATTTTTGATATGTGTTAGATTGTGGGTATTCCACTTGGCAGCCTAGCATTGTTTTGCTTTTGTTATTCTATATAGATAGATAGATTAAACACTATCTACAACTGCTGAGGCCCAATAACATTATGCTAAGCATTAGAATATAATTCTTCTCTTTTTTAAAAATATCATGATTTTCTTGGTCTAAGACAAAATCTAATTTTTTTTTAAATACCATGCTTTATTAGTAACTATACAGTCTATTCTCTTATATAGTGATTCCAATTATTAACACCAAATATAGATCATATTAGTCTTTTTGATTTTAGGATTTCAAATGATAACACCTCCTATTTGGATTATGCTCTGTTATTAGTAGCTTTGTTATTTCTAAATGTAGAGTCATAATATTAAAAAGAAGTGGGAAGGAAAAAAGAAGTGAAAACAACATCTTCAAGGATTCCATTTAAAGGCTTTTTGTAAGTAATTATTAAACAGAGAGAGTTCATATAACAGATGGATAGAAAAGCGAAAAAGAAAAAAAGAAAGGCCCTTCAGTTTCTTCATGCCACGTAGAGCATCAAAAAGTTGTGGCTTTTGAATAGCTGATGAATAATGAGATAAGCAAAGTGGACAAGGGTCAAAAATACCCCTTTACTATTCAAAAATGATCATTTATACTATTAGTCTATCATTGCCCTGACGTCATAAAACTGGTACAAAAATACCCCTTTACTGTTAGGATCCTCCACCATGGCAACATTATTCCACGTGGCCTGGTATATCGCTGATATGAATGCCACGTGGCATGCCACCTCATCGCACCTATTCCATTTTACCCCTCCCTACTTCTTCTTCCACCACCTCCTCCCTCTTCCCTAACCACCGCAATTCATATCTCCCCCAGCTTTAGCTATGTTAAGAACTCTTTGGAAGCAGCACCTGCAGTTAGAACAACCGTACAATTCCTCTTTTGCTATTCCCATTTCTTTGTCTCAAGGGTTTACCGAGTAAATCTTGATATAATACACTTTTTTCATTAGTTGAAGCATAATTCATTTTCATTCTCCAGACTAACAATTTTATTTATTTGCCTGTACTCTGATTTTTGCGAGTTGTTTAGTATTCCTCTGGTTACCTTTGAGGCCTTTTGTCCTGTCTTCATTTTCTTTAGAGGTGGTGTTGTCATCATAGGAATCAACGATCCAGCATAAGTTTGTCATATTGGATTTAGGTGTCTTTGGTCTTGCCATTTCGTGCTATATTTTTTATTATGTGTATACAGTATAAAACTCACTTTGCAGTCATCCTCCAAGATACGGCTGATTAAGAAATTATTCTGCTTTCAGGGACATAAAACCTTATAAGCTTAGACCAGAGAAATGGCCATTTAAAGCTTTTACATTTTGGCTTATGTAAACCCCTGAAAAATAAATAATACTTGTTAATATTATTGGAAGATGAAGATCTTACTAATGCAGAGTCCATTAACGGGGCTGAAGGGCATTCTGGTGGTGATTAAAGCTTCATAGACAATGCCAAAAGAACAAATACAGTAGTGGCAACCATTGTGCCTTGGTTCCAATTGTGATGGTTGGGTGAAGAAGGAGGTGATGGTGGAAGAAGTAAGAACGGGGTAAAATGGGATAGGTGCGATGAGGTGGCATGCCATGTGGCATCCACCTCAGCGATAATCAGGCCACATGGGATAATGTTGCTATGGTAGAGGGTTTTAACGGCAGAGGGGTACTTGTGTACCAGTTTTATGACGTCAGAGGCAGTGATGGACTAATAGTATAACGAAGGGTATAAATAATCATTTTTGAATAGTAAAAGGGTATTTTTGACCCTTTTCCATAAGCAAAGGGGCAATTTGGTCAAGGTACACAAAAGTTTGTACTGCATTCAACAGTTATATTTCTTTTTGGCCAATCATGATGTTCCATTTTATTGAAATGACCTGATTATCCTTTGAATCTCAAGCAGCCATGTTGACAGACACGGTGGTGAAGAAGCTCAATTATATATATATATATATAAGAGAAAAATCTAGCTACTAATACCCACACCAGCAGCTTTAATATAAACCAAATTATATATTTGGACATAGGATGTAATGAATTACACTTGAGACTAAAGACGAAAAAAGGAAAAAGAAGACCACACTTATCAACAGTAAGTCAATAACAAATAAATCAAATAATAATTCTACACTAACAACAAAAACAACTAGAAGAAACTAGAGTCACCAAATGAGTAAGAGGTTATCGACCCATATGCTGTTTTTGTTCTGTCACATATTTTTTTACCACAGCCAAAGTCCACAAAGCCACACTGGCTTCAGGTGCAATAACACCATATGCATCCTTAAGTCTGGAATTTGTCATGCAGCTATCTGAATGCACCATGTCTAGAAAGAAAGCCTTGGCATCTGTCACCAGCCAGTTTTCGCTCGCTTCATCCCACTTGAACTAAAAGGAGATAGACTACCCCTTGGTTGGGGACTCTCTTCTCTGAAATTGTTATTCAGCAAAGCAAGTTCTCTAAGTTGGTGCCTTTTATATAAGTCCTGCGACTCGTCCTGCAATTCCAGGAAAATAAACACTAAATCAGCAAAGTTGATTCATTGTACACCAATGAAATCAGTTGGCTTCCAGTGCCTCAAATCTTTTGAGATTATAAATGATAAGCCTTTAATTTCAGTCATGTTTATTCATCATAGACTATTGACTAGGCAAAAGAAGATACTCCATAGGGAAACAGTCGTTACATTACACCCTTTTCCACATGAACGTTCAAGTTCAGAGATAAATTAAACAAAGTACATAACCACACAATATATCTGCTTGTGGAAGGAAAACTATATGACAGTTTTCTACCCGAAAAGTTCATTTTTAAAGTATGTTGGTTTCTACTGCAGCCACATAAGGACTAAAACCAGATTGGCACATGACAATGAAGGCTATCTTCAAGCTCTATACATTGAACTCAGGGAGATACTTACCACAGGTTTTAGTAGTTCTTCAATAATTTCCCTTGCTTGTTTCAATTGTGTATCAACGATATTGATGGGTAACTCTGCCTCAAGTAAAACATGCAGCGGCTCATTGAGGTGTTCATAACCTGGTCGCCCCCTTAGACTCTCCTCCTTCAATTATACAAGACATTAATAAGAGAAGTTAAGCAAATTACTGGCAGTTTACAAAATTAATTACCGAAATGGTATGTAGAGGATCATAGAGAGAGAAAGGTTTTTATAAACAAACAGAAACAAAGAGCAGTAAAATGTGCAGAAAAGATAGAAAAACTTTACCTTGTCAGGGTCTTTAATTGAACCCTTTCCTCTTATAAATACACGACATCCAGTAGAAGCTTCCACCCGTTTCAGGGAATTGCCTCTAGGTCCCAAAAGCCGTCCGACAAAGTTGAACTGCATCCCACAAAGCATGTGACTTAGTGCAATCATTATAGGAATGTGTGTGTAAACAGATTCATCCTTGTGCTACTTTCTATCTTATATGAACTACTATTATGCTATGTAGTCAAAAATCGATCTGCAGTATGCCTCCAAGACTTGACATTGATATCATATACTAATGGATTATAATGATACCTACTGCCTAAATCATTTTATGCACACCCAATGCAACTATCACTATCTAAGTGACAAGATTGCTGAAAAAGTAAAATGAATAAAATACTATCAACAGATTTCCAAGCCAGCTTACATTCGGATATCTTTCAACGGGTATATCTAACCGTAAAATCCTCTTCACAACAAATGAACTTGGACTTCCTGGCGCTACTTGCCAGTCGATGGGCATTCCCTGCGGTCCACCTAATCTTTGCTGCAAAACAAATTTCCCGCTAATCAAAACGCATATATCAAAACAGAAAGCAGAGCAGCGAAAAAACTGGAGAGGGACATGGACGGGCTAACACAAAAGTGCTGATCAGCAATTATGCCAATGTCTCCATGGAAATGGCTTGAGAGCATAGAGTAATCACCAATGGATATGAAGGTTAGTCACTAAATTTTCCTGTGGAATTTTCTGATATTGGAACTCCCTGCTCAGGACTGGGGTTTAGTTGTTATTATTGTATGAAACTGAATCATAAGAACCAAATTCCGATAACAATGAATGGCAAACAAAAGATTCACCAAGCCCTCGCACCGCCTTAAATATCCTTTGCAAGTCAAGGAAACCAAGAAAAACAGACATATGAAGTATTGAAGGCTGTAGAGGAAGAACAACACTTGGACCAGCAAGAAAAAGGAAATGGGATAGGTTGAAAGCACAGTGCTATGACAAATAAATTTATTAACGTCTTAGTAGTGTCATTACCGGATCTACGCTAATTTGCTTTTTCCTACAACCATATAAAGTTTCATGAACAAAATATTGGCAAAGGACAAATAATAAACATGGAAAAGTGAAGCCTCAGAAGCCTATTCAATGCGTCAAACCTCCTTTGCATGTCTGAAAGATTACAGAAACACATGTTCGAGTGTTTCAAATGCTTTTTGTTTAAATGAATCATTCCTTTGCATGAATTTAAAGGGAACGGGACGGATATATTTCAGTCCTAAGCATGTCAAACAAAACGAACTGGTTCATTCCTTGGCATGAATCTCTTTAAATAGGCTTTAGAGAAGTCTAACATCAAAGATAGGGTATTGATTGTTTTTGTTTAAAGCAAGACTGAAGATATTGCCAAACTCTCACTGTATATGGATATGAGCTAGCTGAATAATTTAGAAGGAAGTCATACAAAGGAATACATTATTTTCTTGAAGTACGATGTTTTAGCATCCCTAAAAAAAGATGATGAAATGTTGTACTACAATCCCTAAGTAAAACAGAAAAAGCTGATAGTTGAAACTTTTCTCATGAGTCTAACTTCTTTCTTCAGTTCACAGATTATCTATTCTTTCAACAATTTTTCTTCACTTCACTGTTTTGCCACCCCCATTGCGAAAATCAAAGTGTTGATTGTTAGCTGAATTGATAAACTTTCTGAACTACAGGCCAGACAGCTCACAGTAGTCCTCATCAATCTCTCTCACGAGCATTTAACCTTTTAATTGTTTTGATACCACAGAGCCACGCTGACAGAGGCAAGTATACAGCAGTATATAGATTTTCCTTTTTATTTTTTTATTTTTTGACAAGTATAAAGCAGTATATAGATAGACACAAATTGTCATAGTATGGATGTATCCATGCATATTTTTCTTTTAAAACCTGAAGGCAAGATCTCAATTACATACTTTCTCACCACATACACTTTATATTGCATCACAAGAATCAATGTATCCGTGTATCCAAAATTTGTGTTCTAATTGTAATTTATGCTTTTTCTTATGTAGGTTAACTTGTATTCTCAATATTAATTTGAGCACTTTCTAAGTCTCTAAGCATTATTATTCATGGAAACTGTTGTCGGTTTTATTCTAAGGAGCATGGTTTCATAACTAGTACTTATTTGGCTATGCTGAAATTCCGGTTCATTTGGAAGCTGTACAGCAAAAACTCTGCACAGTGTCTTTTAGGTGTAAAGAATAATTCTGCCTAATCTTAATCAACTTGATCAAAGGCGATGAAGTCATAAGAGAGCAATTGTGATGTCGAGATCTTTCTTTGGACTTTAATCTTCCACTTTTCTGTTTATAATGATGATTAAACTGACTATAATCTTTTAGGTGTGCCACGATGATACTCATTAAGTGAAGGAGCAAGACATGTCACTTTACTGTTTTTCCTTACACCATGTCGTCTTTGAATTTTAGCTAACACTTAATAAGCAGAAATGTGGGAAGTTTAACATATCATGTCGTGTTACAAATATGCTCACCTCTTGAGGAGTGTTCCATCCATTCCCAGTCCAGCCACCTAAGGGTTTTCCTCCAATATCTTGCATCATGTCAAAGGAAGCCATAGGACTAGGGCTGCCGCGCTGTAGTCTGTCATAGTCACTAAGTCCTTGATTGGGGATCATTCCAGAAACTCTTAATATTTCTGTAAACGTGATGAAGTGGACATTTGCAGAATTAATGCACAATGCTAGTAAGTCAAAGTAAAATCAACTTAACTACGTACTCACTTGAACTTATACATCTATATAGACAATCATTTTAAAAGGGGTGTGCATATGAATCATATAGGTTTGCTGAGATGAATCAATGTGAAAAGTAGCAATTTAAATGGAAAAGAAAAGAAACCTTGATTCAAGAGTCGGCTACATATAGGAAGGACTTGAGTAAAGGGTCCAAGCTTCTGCCTTTCTGCTAACAGCTCTGTCAAGTACTGACTACAAGAAATTAACAAGACATGTATAACATATAACATGCTAAAGAAACGAATTGGGCAAAACACCACACAAACAAATTGGGCAAAATTACCTATCAACATCTAGGTTGCTCCTTATATGAGGAGAAACAGCTCTTGCAGGTGAGAAATTCAACTTCTGATTGTACAAATTTGACATCACCCCCTTCACTCAAACTTCTAGTTTGAACGGCCTGTATAGTGAAACCCTGGAGAACAGGAAATGAAATAAATATTATTAGAAAAATAGATCAAATTTCTGCTGAAATGAATGGCCTTTTATTGAGTTAAATATATATACGTGGGGTAGGAATAAGAACACGTTTTTTGTTTTGGTATGTGTAAAGACCCAACTGTAATAATTCTTTCTTTTTATTTACTATATTTAACTGTGTGCAGTAGAAAGGAAGGAAAGAGAATGCATCCCCTTTTATAGGTTCTTCGCTGTAAGATTTCTTTTGGTAATAACATTGTTGTTCTGTCAGCATCACTTGTCTTTTGTTCTCACGTACATGAAAAGTACGCCTATTATACTGTGCGCACGCGCCACCTGGTAAAGCCTGTTCATTTTTAAAAATATGAGATTTTTTTCATTATTTATCTTATTTCCTATCGGACCTTGTATCGAATTTTTATATCAACTCAATAAGTGACATATTTATTCAAAAAAATAATTATCACTAAATTAATATATATTCTTATCTTAATTTATTACTTAACTATGATAATTAGTATGATTTTTAGTATAAATTTTCGGTGTGAATAAGGTTTTATCATATGGTATTCGTATTACATGCCCAGCTAATAAATGGGGCTTGAACCCTTCACCTACTGTGTAAAAGATAGAGAACTCAGTGAACTAGCCCTTAATCTCTGTCTAATCTGTATTCACTCAATCATCCAATTTTATTTGCACAAACGTAAAATAAATAAATTAAAAAAATTGTACATCGGCGTAAAACTTTTATACGCCATCAAATTAAATGACCTACGATAGTAGATAATTATCTATATTAATTTAATTTAATTTAATTGTCTAAAAAATAAAGTACTAGATCTAATATTTATACAAGGACTGT